ATATATATATATATATATATATATATATATATATATATATAGATAATACAGTAGTGCAAACAGAGGTAGTAGTGCAATATTATTTATTGTTCATGAGGGTGACGGCCAGTGGAAAGAAGCTGTTCCTGTGTCTGGTGGTTTTGGCGTACAGAGCTCTGTAGCGCCTACCAGAGGGGAGGAGTTGGAACAGCTTGTGTCCAGGGTGTGAAGGGTCCTATTGGAATGAATGTGTGCAAGAAATACCTTGGAAGAAAGACTTTACCTTCTAAATGTCTACAGTGCTACCAGACAACATGAGGTAAGTTTATGAGATAAGGCTCTAGCCAACAAAATTCACCCTCCAAAGTCTAAGAAAGGACATCCACACAAACTGTTCATTCTTTGATGTATGCTCAGAGACAATCCTCCACTTGATAATAAAATAATTCACAACATTCACAAAAACATTGACAAATGTAAAAGAATTTTGAATTGCTGGCTAAAGAGGGAAACAACATTTATCTGGAAGGGTTTTATTGTCCAGGTCAAGATGGACATTTTTCCTGCTCACTCCCCAGAAATCTCTGACAAAATGATTAGCTTAATCTGCTAAAACAGACATTATAAGAGGTGGCATGGTTCAACTAAAGGGGGCAAAGTGGACGCCATATATTTCTCTGTTGTGAAGGGTGTTATTCAGTTGAAATGGGACTGCATCCCCAATACAATTTTTCAGAAAGTGTGAGATGTAGATTTTTTATTTCGTTTTGATTCGCTCAAACCACCTATCAAGTTCTCTTTACACTATTTTGTGGAACAACAGGGATTCACTAAACACAAACCACTGTTCTTCGGAGCTTGGATTGAAAGAGGAATCTGGTCTATGAGCCACATAATGGACGCATTTGCAAACATATTACAATATGGAGAATTCTGCGATGAATTAAATCTTAACTGTTCTGTTGGATAATATAATAAGGTGACTAAGGTCATTTGTATTCCCCTTAAAATAATGGTTCCACAGGCTTTGGTGCACTCTATTGTATCAGAGCTAGTAAGCAGCACACCATTGTTGGAAATGTTTTATCACCAGAATATGATCCTAATATTATTATCCTGTGACGTCTGTTGAAGCTGGATCATTTATGGAGGAGGGAAACTTGGAATTTGAACGAAATGATTTGACTCTATTTGGTAAAAATTTGATTAAACAGATTGAAGAATAAACCGACAGCATAACCCCCCTTGACGCAGTTTAGTGTGTTTAAGAAGCCCCTTGTGCATCACGTGGTTTGGGTAGCCCTGTATTATAACGCCATACACCGCCATCTTATGGGCAGGGCAGCCACAACAATGACTTCATCATTCCTCTTCTTCCATGACGACCTAACGTGTAGGATTAGTTAGATAGGCTACTTGTCGCGTAATAAACATGCGATCACACTAAAATATTCTAACATTAAAACAGTTTACGAAAGTTAGGTATGCGTTATCAAAGATGATCATCTATCGCCTCAATGTTTACCTATTTGATCTATTATTACATTTCTTGAGCAGCAGGCTCGTGTATTACAGATTAAGATAAATACATTATTATTATTATTGTTATTATTAGAGGCTAAAACGAAGCTGATTTGGTTTCGTGAGTGTCTGAGTGTCTCTGCGTCATGTATTAGATTATATCCGGTGTCACCAAGACACTCGCAGAGAACCATCCAATCCAAACTCTCAACACATTCTGTTGACCAATGGGATGTCCGCTGTACTTTGACCGACATTTCGTTGGTCCAATAGCATGAATCGGTCCGCTGTAGCTGGCCTGGCCCCACCTTCCTAGGTTAGTCCGTTGCTGAAGCGCGAGAGTGTAACATCTACATTAACAGCTCTGTTTAGGTCGTTGTTCGGAAGATTGTTTAATTACCGTCAAAATGAGGGAAATCGTGCACCTGCAGGCGGGCCAGTGTGGAAACCAGATAGGAGCTAAGGTATGAATAGCTTTGTTTTAAAGAGAAGTCTTAACACAATGAAAAATGGCGTGAATGTTGCAGTTGGTTTGGGCGGGCTGATAGGTTAGCTTACTTAGCAACGACGCTAATGGGGCCGTGGTTTCCGTACCGACGATAGGTTTGACTCGTGAGGATACGTCGTGCTAGTTAGCCTGTTCATATAACCGTTAACCTCCATTCTCTGTTTCTCCTGGTTGTAGTTCTGGGAGGTGATCAGCGACGAGCACGGCATCGACCCTACCGGGTCGTACCACGGGGACAGCGACCTGCAGCTGGAGCGGATCAACGTGTACTTCAACGAGGCGTCAGGTTAGCCGCATTGTGCTTTGGGCTCCTAGAGTTAACGATAGCTAATTTAAAGGGGAACCAAAGTTATTCGGTAACGGGAAATTCCGTTAGTACCGAAGCTATCCAGCAGGGTCACGGTATCCCTAACCCGTTGGAAACCATTAGAAGCCACTAGAAGTCACAGTGAACTCTCCTTCCTAGTTGCCGTTTCCATGGTACAACAAATCAACAAACCATCCAGCTCACGAATGATATTATCCCAAATATATACGAGGAATATGAGGGCGTTGGCTTTAATCTATTGTCATATTTTGAGGCCAGGTCCCAAAGAGCCATAGAAGCATTTATGACCAAATAAAAACAAAAGTAAACCGTCCATAAAGCATTTTTGCATACATGTGTTCTCTCTTGTCGCTCTGTGTGACACTCTGCTGTAATTGAATAACCCTTACAGTTTTTCAACATTTAATAAGGCAAAGTAATTAATGCATACGAACAAAAAAAGCTCCCAGCACCGTGTGTGTAACTTGTAATAATAATACTAGTGATTTGTCTGCTTGTTTTTTTTTTTTTTTTTTTTTTT